CGGGGGGTCGGTGGGGGGACGAACCCCCACCTGACCACCCGCCGGTACAGACTCGCCGTACCCGCGGGCGGCCGACCGCCTACCGTGTACCCGCTGGTACACAGCCTCCCACCGGCGGGTCGTGCTACCGCTGGAACAGGGCGGCGTGTCGTGACGTTTTACCTCGTTTGTGGTTTCCCCGTGTCTGGTTGTGCCCCGTTTGATGTTTATGAGTCTCGTTTGATATTTTGGGTACCGTTTTAGGGGTTACGAGTCGTGATTATTGCATGTGGGTTAAGTTAGTATCCTGTTGACCTAGGATGAGATTTGTATGATCCCGTGGGTGCCTTGTGGTTGTCTTGTTATCTTGGGAAGTAGAGTTTAGGCTGTATCTTGTGGACTGCGTGTTTATGTTGATGTCACTTGTTGATGTGATTGTTGTGCCTTCCCTTTGACTCTCCATTACTATGTGTTGATGTGTATTGATTGTTGTTGATATTGAGCGGTGGCCACTGTGTTGTTGTGCGTGTTGACTAATTGATTGTACTTGACGAGAAAGGGATGAGATTGGTGGAAAAGAATTGTTGGAGTTTGGCACAACGAGTGCCCGGTTATTGTGCTAAAGACATAGACCATTCGATTATCGTGCTGAAGGCACAGACCACCTTGACTTGCTTGCTAAAGGCATGGGTCAAGTTATAAGTGCTGCGGTGCCATGTCATAGCTATATACGCTAACCCTTGGTAGTGGTGCTAGAGGCACGGATCATGTGAATGGCACTGCGGTGCTATCAGATCGGTGGCATGTTGGAGATATGTTGGATGGGAGCCATGAAGTGCTCCAGAGGGATAGGGGGGGGGGGGGTTGCGTTATAAAGGTGGCCTAGAGGTACAAGTTGGAACTAATATAAGGATGGAGAGGAGTAAAGGTTGAAACTTGGTATAAGGTTGGATTGTGTTACTATTGTTTGTTGTTGCCTTTGCTTGTCATTGTGCCTTATTGTTGTTATTGTTTGCTATTGCTGAGCTTTGTGGTTATCTTATCTTGCGATTTAGAACGCATGTTAGTACCTTTATGATGAGTCTTGATGCTGAACCTGTTGTTATGCCTTGAGTGTTGATCTTGGTTTTCAAGCTAGTGTTTGTTTAGGATTATATACGTATTCCAGTTTCAAAATGGTTTCTTATATCTACCTATATTGTACTTAACGTGTGGGAATGGATTACCAGCATTATTCGCTGACGGTTGTTACACCGTATGTTTTTCAGGTGCAGATCAATAGCTCCAGAGTGTGCTAGATGGATACGAGAACCTAGCTTAGATAGTTTAGTATTAGTTAGATGGTCTATGAGCCTTGGTTTGTATTATGAATACTAATTACAGTTTATGCTTGTTCAGTTAGTTTAACCTGTGCGTCTAGGTTCTCAAACCTAGACATGGCATAGCACCCCGATACTCATGTTGGTAGTTCCGCTTTGTTTGGATGGATAATGATAGATTTGCTTTTATTTTATAGGATTTAAATGTTTTTAAAATTAGGGGTGTTACAAGCTCACCCAACAATCAGCAAAGCAGCTACAAGTTGTATCAATTGTAGGCATGGGTGGAATAGGCAAGACCACATTAGTTCGCAAAGTTTATAAAGATCCATCAATTTCTTCTCACTTTTATATGCGAGCATGGGTTACAGTATCTCAAGAACATAAACTGTGACAAATGCTCCAATGCCTTCTTGGTTGTGTTAGTGCATCAAGTGATGAACAAAGCAATGATGAAGGCCAATTAGCAGACCACCTTCATAAACACTACTGTTTGGGATAGTGTGCAAAGATGCTTTCCAAATGATAATAATGGAAGTCGTATACTATTGACTTCTCGGCTCAGGGAGGTGGCTGAATATGCAGGTAACTCTACCATTAACATGCCTTTCTTAGATGCTAGTGAAAGTTGGAATCTCTACTGCAATGTGTTTGGGCAAACGAAATTTCCTTTTAGGGTACGTTTGGAAACCAGGAAAATGACTTCTGGAAAATGTTTTCAGGAAAATGAGTCATTTTCCAGAAAACATTTTCCTTTCCAGTGTTTGGTTGCATTTTGGAAAACTTGGTGTGTTTAGTTTATTTTCTGGAAAAATTAGTAGAACTGTATGCTTAAACATTTTGGCGAAAAATGACTTCCCCAAATTTTGGCGGAAGTCATTTTCCGCCAAAATGGATTCATTTTCCCCAGTCCAACGGAAAATGTTTTCCGTTGACTGGATTTTCCTATTGCATCCAAACACTGAAAACTCAAAAAACACTTTCTAGAAGTCATTTTCCGGGTTTCCAAACGGACTCTTAGTGTTTGAGCAAATTGGTAGGGACATAGTGAAGAAATGTAATGGATTACCTCAAGCTATTATTGTAGTAGCTAGTCTTCTCTCCAAGACAGAGGCGGCAGTGGAGAAGTGGGATAATGTTGCAGAAAATGTGAGTAGATATGTAATTGGTGATTCTAATTATGCATGTTCTAGAATACTATATCTGAGTTATAATCAATTACCATACCACTTAAAAGCTTGTTTTCTATATTTTGGAGTTTTTCCGGAAGACTACGAGATCCGTGTGAAGAAGTTGGTTAGGTTGTCGGTAGCAGAGGGATTTTTGAGGGCAGTGGACGAAATATGGAGGAAGTGGCCATGGAATGCTTGCAAGATCTTGGTGATAGAAGTCTTCTTCTAGTTGGTAAACCGGGCTATAATGGCAAAATCAAGACAATTATGATGCACGATCTCTTGCGAGACTTGTGCTTGAGAGAAGCTCGGCGTGAAAATCTCTTGAAATGTCATTGAAAATGATTATGATGGTGTTGTTGAGAGGATATTACAGCACTTGTTTCCAGAAGCTTGTCCTTGGATAAGTAGTAGACCAGGATGTTTCAATATTCAATTCAGATCTATGTGGTATGACAAATTCCATTCCTTACACTCTTTTGATCAATTTATTCGTTTCAACATTAAGGTGCTTTGTCACTTCAAACTGTTAAGAGTAGTAGATATGAAACTTGGATTGCGGCATTTTGGAGATAAGGTACTATATATGGAAAATTTTGTTCATTTGAGATACTTAGCTTTGTTCATATGCACAGAAGTAGGCCCTCTTAAAGTAAAGTTCTTTGAGCATTTGGAATATTCAAAGTTTTATTGTCCATGGATGTTGTGTTATATTATTGGATTCCTTTGAGGCATCTAGAATTTGGAAAATGGCACTGTTAAGGAATTTTTATGTCAAAAAATATCCTTTTACATTAGAGGCTTTGGAGGTTGTTCATAGAAACATAGAGACTCTCTCCACCAAAAAAAAAAAAAAGAAACATAGAGACTCTATTTTGGTTGCGTCCCGATTGTTGTAAAGATGATCTTTTTACAAGGATTCCAAATTTAAAAAAATTGGGGATTTAAGGTGGAATGGATTTTGAAAATGAAAATTCAGATGATATTTATAATTTTGTGCACTTGGGACAGCTTGAGAAACTAAGCATTCAGAGGGTGGCATCTCCAACTTCAGGATAGGCACACTCAATGGGCAACTAGTTTTCTACCAAATCTTAAGAAGCTAAAATTGTTCGAGACTAGATTGCCATGGAGTAATATGAGGCTTATTCGTATGTTGCCAAATCTAGAAGTTCTAAAACTGGAAAATGCTTGCCTACGCAAAAAGTGGAAGCCATCTGAGGGAGGGTTTCGTTAATTAAAAAGGTTGGTAATTGAAAGCACGTATGTCGAATATTGGAATGCTGTGGGTGACCATTTCCCTGTGCTCAAGCATTTAGAGATTAAGTGGTTGCGATTTGTTGCGAAAGATCCCTATTGAGTTTGCTGATATCACCACACTTGCATTGATTCAGTTAAAGAAGTGTCGTTATTCCGTTTTGGTTTCCACATTGTGTATTCAAGATGAGCAGCGAAGATATGGAAATGATGGCCTTTGTGTTCGTTCCAAACATACTCAGGTCTCTCCCATCCCAAACGGCCTGTGACTGTTTCACATCTCTTCACCAAAATGTAGTTAGGTGGTGTACGTGTCCCAAGGGTCTTTTATCACGGCTGTGAGTATACCTTAGATAGGAGTCTACTCTTCCAAAGTGGCCATTAGGGAGGTGCTCAGCTGAGTGGTTCGAGGCCTATCAAATGACAATGACTAGTCCTTATTTTATCTTGTCTTAGCTGACATAAAATCACTGTTAAATTGTTTTCCACACACTTTTGTATCTTTTGTTATGCGATCAGCGAATCGTACTGTCCATGTGTTGGCTCGGAGTCAATTTTTCAGTCTAATCGTAGAGAATGGTTGTCATTCCCTCAGTATATATCGCATAAAACCACTATCGCATAGCATAGCAGGAGGATCTGTTATATATGAATCAGCTGCCAATGGTTTTTGTGCGTGTTGTGGATTTGTTGTTGTAATGAATTTGGCTAAATACGTACGGTGTTGTATCATAAAGTATTATGGTTTGTGCTTCAATTGTGGTATAAAGTTAGTGTTATTTCTTTATCTGAACTGAACTGATTTTGGACGTCCATCTAAAAGCAGAGAGTGCAGGGCGTGGATTAATTAGTAGATAGGAGTTTTGTATGTTGAAGTATAATACTGTCATTTTGCAATTAAAATATAATGCTTCGGTGTTGCGCTGCCTTAATCACATGATGAGCTGAGAGATGGAAATTTAATTGCCAGAAGGAAATTCCCCCAACCAATGTTATTGAATTATGTATTAAGTTAATGAATGTCAACTATGCACATGATGAGCATAATATAATAAATTGCACTGTACTTCTTCCAAATCATACATAGAATATTTGATCCCTACCTCTTCTTATATTATTAAATTGCACCTACCTACCTGAATTCTCAACATACATGGGCATTTAATACCAACTCGATCATATCAAATGAGCTCCATGTTCCAACAGATCATACAAAATCCTTAGCAGCAACAAGCAAGGACGAAGAAGAAGAAGAAGAAGTAGTGCCGCCACCATCATCCTTAGCTATCTGCTTGTGGTGATAGGGTGAAGAGAGACTACTGGGATTTCTTAATGCTGCTTTAATTTAGGTAATCTTCTTCTTCCTCTTCTTATTTATATCAACAGCTACAAACTTCAATTACCAAACAATCATACTTTTATGGCGAATCAATTCTAATTGGAACAATTTATCAAACACATAACCCACAAAGTCGATCTTCTTCCAATCCCCTTTTTTCAAAGCGAGATTGAAATTGTGAGTATGTAGTATGTCTAATTGCGTGTCCTATTCTTATAGCTATACACAATTCCAAAGATTCTCAAGCATAATTGAACCCGATACAAGAGATCAAATTATAGCATGCTCACAACAACCTTAGCTAATTCAATACATACCCTTTTTATGCAGTTGAAATCATAGAAGCATCTATAATAAGATCAAGCTACTTTTAATTCAAGTTATTATATTTATTTTTGTTATAATAAATTATAAGTTAAAATTATTTATTTACATTTTTATTACAATTATTATTAATCTTTATGACTATTATAATGTTTTCTTTATAATTATATTTTAATATAAATAATAATTATTATCATCATTAAAATAATTTATATTTTATAAGAAATAGCTTTGTAATAGAGTTATGCTCATGTTTTTAAAAAATTAATCAAATAGAAACAATATTTATTTTTACTTTTAACTAAAAAAAATTATTTGCCAACTATCATGTAGTGTGATGACATCCTAGTTACCATTCCAAATGGATGGTCATAGGTTCGAAGTACTTCAAACTCTATTACTCTGGTGGTGGAGGCTTAGACTCTTTGGACTAAAAACGTTTGAAAAAGTATAGAACAGATACTACCTTGTAAAACAAATAATAAGTATTTTTAAAAAATGAGTATTTCAGCCAAATACTAACAAATGAAAATATTTTTCAAAGAATTAATTACTTTCTAAAAATTATTTTTCATATTTCCAAGCTCAGCCTAATTCACTTCTATTCATGAACCTGATCTACAATCCCTACTTATTTTTTTTTTAAAGTGAATTTTTGAAACATTAACCTGATTAGATGTTCCTATTTTGGATGAAGCTGGAGTTGGCTTTGATATGTAAATACTAAAGTCAAATGTAGAAATGGGCATAACCTTTTTTCTGATGAGGTTAGGAGCAGGAGCAAATACTTGGTCTAAGAGCAAGGTGCTCATCTCTGAGAAAGAGTAATGCGCTCATCTCTAAGAAAGAGCAAGGTGCTCATTCCTGAGAAAGAGCAAGAGGAATTTGCAGGAGTGAGTTTGCTATAAATAGGCAACTCCTCTTCATCCAATCTCATCCCATTCCATCAGGGATCATCCCATTACCATAGCAAAAATATAGAGAGTAGAATAGAGAGTTATATTTGTAATTCCTATTGTAATATCCTTTTGCCAATACAGAAAATCCTTCTTCAAATTGGCTTTATTTTGTGTATGATTTATTTTAAATCTTACACTAGAAATATTCTCATCATTTCCGGTCCGAATTGCTGTTGTATTTTGGTGTTGTGAACCGTATCGATCCTAACAAGTTGTATCAGAGCCCCAGGAAGGTTCAAAGATATATCTGTACTGTATCGTTTATGTTAGAACTCATTCTGGTAGAGTGATTGTACATGTCTAGGAAAAGCTCTGGTTAAGACTTGGTATTTAAGCAGTCCATTTGTGACTCAACTCTCTTCTCTAGAAATATTTTCCTGGTGTACTGTTCACAGGACCGGTAGTTTTCTATTATACGATACTATTTAGATATATTGTTCAGGATCAAGAACACCATTTACAATGACGACAAAGTACGAGATTGAAAAGTTCAATGGGAACAGTTTCCCGTTGTGGAAAATGAGAATGAAAGCAGTTCTCAAGAAAGATAACTGCGTTGCAGCAATTGAAGAAAGACCAGTCGACTTCACAGACGATGCAAAGTGGACAGAAATGGATAGCAACGCTATTGCCAATCTGCACTTAGCACTTGCTGATGAAGTTCTGTCAAGTGTGCCAGAAAAAGGTACTGCAAAAGAGATATGGGATACTCTCATAAATTTGTATGAGGCCAAATCACTGCACAACAAGATCTTCTTGAAGAGGAAGCTATACACTCTCAGGATGATGGAGACATCCTCAGTAACTGAGCACATCAACACTCTCAACACTCTATTTTCACAACTCTTGGCATTGAGTTATAAAATAGAAGTGAATGAACGTGCTGAAATCTTACTCCAAAGTCTACCGGATTCATATGATCAACTCATTATCAATATAGTCAACAACAAGGAGGTACTTGTCTTCGACGATATTGCAGCTGCGGTTCTTGAAGAAGAAAGTTGGTGCAAAAAACAAAGAAGACAAAGTTGGAATCTCACAATCTCAGGCGTTGACAGTGATAAGAGGAAGATCAACGGAGCCTGGCTCCAGTGGGAGTCAGAACCGAGGTAGATCAAAGTCAAGGGGTAAGAAGAATGTCAAGTGTTTTCACTGTGGCAAAATGGGGCACTTCAAGAGTGAGTGTTGGCAGCTCAAGAAGGATGAGACCAAAGGCAAAAATCCCGAGACATCAAATGCTCAGGGATGTGTTGTGTGTACAACGGATGTAGGCGAAGTTTTAATTGGTGTAGCAGCAACAATTGTTGAAGGCAAGAAAAGTTTAGCTGATGTTTGGCTAATGGACTTAGGAGCAACATGGCATATGAACTCACGGAAAGAATGGTTTCATGAATATGAACCTATCTCTGGAGGATCAGTGTTCATGGGAGAAGACCATGCCTTAGAGATTGCTGGCTTTGGTACTATTAAACTAAAAATGTTTGATGGTACGGTTCACACTATCCAAGAGGTACGACATGTGAAAGGCCTGAAGAAAAATCTATTTTCTTTAGGACAATTAGATAGCCGTGAATGTAAAATTCACATTCAGGATGGGATCATAAAAATAATCAAGGGCACGCTTGTTGTGATGAAAACTGAAAAGATAGCGGCCAATCTATACATGCTTAAAGGAGAAACGCAACTACAAGGAGAAGCAGCTGTTGCATCAGACAATCTTATAGAGGAATCAACGATGATGTGGCATCAAAAAACTTGGCCACATGTCGGAACGAGGTCTAAAGATTCTTGCTGATCAACATCTTCTTCCGGGGTTAAAAAAGGTTTCATTACCTTTTTGTGAGCATTGTGTTACAAGTAAGCAGCATAGATTGATGTTCGAGAGCTCTAAAGCAAGGAGTAAGGCTATCTTGGAGCTAATCCACTCTGATGTTTGGCAAGCACCGGTTATATCCCTGGGAGGTGCAAAGTATTTTGTATCCTTCATAGACGATTACTCGAGGAGATGTTGGGTGTATCCAATCAAGCGGAAGGCGGATGTATTTGAAGTTTTCAAATTCTTCAAAGCGCGTGTGGAACTTGAATTTGAGAAATGGATCAAGTTTTTGAGGTCGGATAATGGAGGAGAATATTTTAGTGATGAGTTTGATAAATTCTGTCTACAAGAAGGTATCAAACGGCAGTTCACGGTGGCGTATACTCCAAAACAAAATGGGGTGGCAGAGCGGATGAACAGAACCTTGTTGGAAAGAACAAGAGCAATGTTGAGGACTGCAAATTTGGCAAATTCATTTTGGGCTGAAGTAGTCAAAACCGCCTGTTATGTAATCAATCGGTCACCATCAACCGCAATTGATCTGAAAACGCCAATGGAAATGTGGACTGGTAAGACATCTAGTTATTCTCACTTACATACATTTGGGAGTCCGACATATGTGATATACAACGCTCAAGAAACATCTAAACTTGATCCAAAATCAAGAAAATGTGTTTTCTTGGGGTATGCTGATGGTGTGAAGGGGTATCGCCTGTGGGATCCCACTGGCCACAAGGTTATCATCAGCATGGATGTTCTATTTGTAGAAGACAAGGTACAAGAAAGGGAAATCACTGGAAAGGAGAAACCAGTGACAATTACAGTACAAGTTGAGGGAAGGAAGGAAGAAGAAATTCTAGTTTACCCTAAGTGTGCTGTGTATGACTTGTATCTTGAGCAGTTGGATGTGAAAACTGCATCTCTACATGGAGAACTTGAAGAAGAGATTTACATGCTCCAAACAGGAGGTTTTGAAGAAAAAGGAAAAGGGAACTTGGTTTGCAGGTTGACCAAATCTCTATACGGTCTCAAACATGCGCCGAGATGTTGGTATAAGAGATTTGATTCATTCATTCTGAGCCTTGGATACAACAGATTTAGTTCAGATCCTTGTGCATATTGCAAGAGATTTGATGATAATCAGTTTATCATCTTGCTGTTGTATGTTGACGACATGTTGGTAGTAGGCCTCAACAATGATCGTATCACAGAGATGAAGGCTCAACTGGCTAGGGAATTTGAAATGAAGGACTTGGGACCAGCAAACAAGATTCTAGGGATGCAAATCCACCGAGATAGAAATAATAGGAAGATTTGGCTCTCTCAGTAGAATTATCTGAAGAAACTCTTGCGCCGCTTCAACATGCAAGATTGTAAGCCAATTTCTACCCCTCTTTCTATTAATTTCAAGTTATCCTCAAGTATGAGTCCTAGCAACGAAGCAGAGAGGATGGAGATGTCTCGAGTAACGTATGCATCAGCAGTGGGCAGTTTAATGTTTGCTATGATCTGCACTAGACCAGACATTGCACAAGCAGTGAGAGCGGTCAGTCGATACATGGCAAATCCTGGTAGAGAGCATTAGAGTGCTGTGAAGAGGGTCCTTAGATATATCAGGGGTACCTAAGATATTGCATTGTGTTATGGAGGATCAGACTTCATCATTAGAGGCTATGTTGGTTCAGATTATGCAGGTAATCTTGATTGTAGCAAATCCACCACGGGTTATGTGTTTACTCTTGCTGGCGGAGCAGTAAGCTAGGTCTCGAAGTTGCAGTCTGTTGTGGCAACGTCGACGACGAAAGCATAATATATAGCTGCTACTCAAGCTAGTAAAGAGGCTATATGGTTGCAAATGATATTGGAGGAGCTCGGGCACAAAGTAGAGAAAATGACTATTTTGTGACAGTCAGAGCGCTTTGTACTTGACAAAGAATCCAGCATTTCATTCCAAGACGAAACACATACGGGTCCAATTTCACTTTGTTCGTGAAAATGTGGAAGAAGGGAGTGTGGATATACAGAAAATCCATACTAAAGATAACCTGGCAGATATGTTAACAAAGCCGATTACCAATGATAAATTCGTATGGTGTAGATCCTCAATTGGCTTAACAAGTATGCAAGCAGCACGGAATTGGCGAAAAGGATGAAGGTCCACAATGTGACTTTAAGTGGGAGATTTGTAAATACTAAAGTCAAATGTGGAAATGGGCAGATCCTTTTTTTCTGATGAGGTTAGGAGCAGGAGCAAATACTTTGGTCTAAGAGCAAGGTGCTCATCTCTGAGAAAGAGCAATGTGCTCATCTCTGAGAAAGAGCAAGGTACTCATTCCTGAGAAAGAGCAAGGTGCTCATCTCTGAGAAAGAGCAAGGTGCTCATCTCTGAGAAAGAGCAATGTACTCATCTCTGAGAAAGAGCAAGGTGCTCATTCCTGAGAAAGAGCAAGGTGCTCATCTCTGAGAAAGAGAAAGGTGCTCATTCCAGAGAAAGGTGCTCATTCCTGAGAAAGAGCAAGAGGAATTTGCAGGAGTGAGTTTGCTATAAATAGGCAACTCCTCTTCATCCAATCTCATCCCATTCCATCAGGGATCATCCCATTACCATAGCAAAAATGTAGAGGGTAGAATAGAGAGTTATATTTGTAATTCCTATTGTAATATCCTTTTGCCAATACATAAAATCCTTCTTCAAATTGCCTTTATTTTGTGTATGATTTATTTTAAATTTTACACTAGAAATATTCTCATTATTTCCGGTCTGTATTGCCATTGTATTTTGGTGTTGTGAACCGCATCGATCCTAACACGTTAGACACAAAACAGACAGATTAAAAAAAGAAGAAGACATATTTGAGTTGTGAGCTAGATTCCACTTAACATTAAACAATTTCTTCTCATGTTATCATTATCTTCCTCTAATATTTTTTTTTGAAAACATCTTCCTCTAATATTTAATTCCATATCACTCGCAATTAGTGTTACAAGTTGCTGAAAGCCACACAAATTTTAATATGAAGTACTAAAAGTCAATATAATGCTGCCATTTTGCAATTAAAAATATAATTTTAAAATCATGGTTGTTAGAATTCCTGTCTAAATTGCATCACAACTTTCATTTCTTCTTTGTTCTGCTCTGATCAGCTAGTACATAGACAGACACAAATGGCTTATGCTGCTGTAACTTCGCTTAAAGGAACACTCCATCTACATTTCTTGCAATCACAACTACGCTTGCCTCTTCAAGACAATCAAGAAATAGTTAATTCTCTCCATGAAAATCTTGGTTTCTTCCAAGAAATTCTTGAGAAATCTGAGACCGCCTATAATAATTTGGCGATGAAAGATTTAGAGGCAGAGATGAGAGATGTAGCTTTCAAAGCTGAAGAAAGAATTGAGATGGAATTGAGTAGCATATATCTTCAATCAAGCAGTATAGATGCTTGCCTCCTCAGGCTTCATGGAATCTTCAAGCAAGCAGTAAAACAGACTGATTACCTGAAGAAGAAGTTGATTAAGATTACAAGTAAACACCAGTTTGCAAAGGGTCCATCAATCACGGGTATTTCACTTTTTGGTCGGATGCGACGACAAAGAGCACTACTCCTTGGTTCAACATCATCCCAGCCTGCTGATCCAGAACGAGAGAATATTACAGTGAGTAAATTTTCCAAAAGCGTTTCAAAGTTTGAGAGTAAAATGGTTGGATGCGACAAGGAATTCAAGATAATATTGGACAAGCTCGCGCAACAAACAGCTGAGCAGCTCCAAGTTGTATCAATCGTTGGCATGGGAGGAATAGGCAAGACCACTTTAGCTGAGAAAGTCTACAAGGATCCATCAATTACTTCTCATTTTTACAAGCAAGCATGGGTTACTATATCCCAAGAGTATACCGTTGGGCAGATGCTCAAATGCCTTATTGGTTGTGTTAGTGCATCAAGTGATGAAGAAAGCAGCAATGACCCAGGCCAATTAGCAGAAATGCTACGTAAACTCTTGAAGGATCAGAGATACTTGATAGTGATAGATGATATATGGAGCAAAAAAGCTTGGGAAAGTGTGCAAAGATGCTTTCCAAATGATAATAATGGAAGCCGTATACTACTGACTTCTCGTCTCAGAGAGGTGGCTGAATATGCTGCTAGTTCAGGTAACTCTATCATTAACATGCCTTTCTTAGATGCCAATGAAAGTTGGAATCTCTACTGCAGTGTGTTCGGTAAAACGGAATTTCTTTTGGTGTTTGAGCAAATTGGTAGAGACATAGTGAAGAAATGTAAAGGATTACCTCTAGCTATTACTTTAGTGGCTAGTCTTCTCTCCAAGACAGAGGAGAAGGTGGAAAAGTGGAAGAATGTTGCAGACAGTGTAATTGGTGATTCTAATGAAGCATGTTCAAGTGTACTATCTTTGAGTTACAACCAATTACCACACCCCTCTAAAGCTTGCTTTCTATATTTTGGAGTTTTTCCAGAAGATTATGAAATCCCGGTAAAGAAGTTAGTTAAGTTGTGGGTAGCCGAGGGATTTTTCGAGGCAGTGAACAATAAGAATCTGGAGGAAGTGGCCATGAAATGCTTGCAAGATCTTGTTGATAGAAGTCTTGTTCTAATTGGTAAATTGAGCTACAATGGCAAATTCAAGACAATTAGGATGCATGATCTCTTGCGAGACCTGTGCTTGAGAGAAGCTCGACGTGAAAACCTCTTGAATGTCATAGGACTCGTAAAACTCCCATTTTTCAAGAGGAAATTACATCACTTGTTTTCAAAAGCTTGTCCTTGGATAAGTATTAGACCAGGATGTTTCAATATTCAAATTAGATCTATGGGCTTTGACAAATTCCATTCCTTACACTCTGTTGATCATGTTGATTTCAGCATTAAGGTGCTTTGTCACTTTAAACTATTAAGAGTAGTAGACATGAAACTTGGATTTTGGAACTTTGAAGATAAGATGCTATATATGGCAAATCTTGTTCACTTGAGATACTTAGCTTTGTCCATAAATGAAAAAGCTGGCCCTCTTAAAGTAAAGCTCTTTGAGCATTTGAATATGCAAAGTTTTATTGTTCGTGGATGTAGTGTTATATTGGATTCCTCCGAGCGAATTTGGAAAATGCCACTGTTAAGGAATTTTTATGCGGACATAATTCCTTTTACATTAGAGGCTTCGGAAGTTGTTCATAGAAACATCGAGACTATATCTTGGTTGCGTCCGAATTGCTGTACAGATGATCTCTTTACAAGGATTCCAAATTTAAAAAAGTTGGGAGTTCAAGGTGAAAGGCGTTTTGACAATGAAACATCAATTGATTTCTATAATTTTGTGCACTTGGGGAAGCTTGAGAAACTAAGCATCAAAGACTGGCATCTCAAACTTCCATATAGGGGCATCCAATGGGCAACTAGTTTTCTACCAAATCTTAAGAAGCTCGAATTCTTCTGGACCTATTTGGCATGGAGTGATATGGAGCTTATTGGTATGTTGTCAAATCTAGAAGTTCTAAAATTGATAGATGCTTGTGAAGGAAAAAAGTGGGAGACATCGGAGGGAGGGTTCCGGCAATTGAAAAGGTTGGTAATTAAAAGCAGGAATTTGGAAGATTGGAATGCTGTGGGTGATCATTTTCCTGTGCTTCAACATTTAGAGTTAAGTTTGTGCAGAATTTTGCAAGAGATCCCTATTGCGTTTGCCGATATTACCACACTTGAATTGATTCAATTAAATGACTGCTTGGATTCCGTTTTGACTTCTGCAAAGCTTCTTCAAGATGAGCAGCGAAGCTATGGAAATGAAGCCCTCCTTGTTCGTTCTAAATATATTCGGGTCTCTTTCTATCCCTGCTTCCATTATATCTCAGACCGCTTCACATTTCATGCTATTTAAATTCTTTGCAATTCCTCTGCAATCAATAATTATGTGCATGCTTTCTCTCATTTTTCTCTTTCTCATATTTCCTTACCAATATAAATGTGTCCACTTACATATTGTTTCCCGTAGGAGTAATGAATGAATAAGGGTATGTAGATACGTACTTAAATAAGTCGATCTGTTTTATTTCGTTTCTCCTTAACATCTAATTATTAAACACATACAGACAACTATAAAGATTGAGAGGCGATGAAAAGTTAAGAGGCACAAAGCTAAGCAGAGATGATGATGATGGATGGATCTTGTTTGTTCTTGGGTGATGATGGATGTTGGCATAGCATAGCATAGCAGGAGCTGTACAATATGAATCTGCCTGCCACTGGTTTTTGTACTGCATATACTGGTTGTAGGTTTGTTGCTTATCAGTACCTGCACATCAGTGAGTAAAATTTAGGGAGTAAGATTTGATAGTCCATGTAGTAAAACTATATATGAATCTGCCTGCCAGGCTGCCAGTGGTTTCTGTACTGTACTTGTTGTGGGTTTATTGTTGTGGTTATTTTGTTGCTTGAAGGAATGTAATGCTGTGATTATTTTTTGGATAAGGTGTTGCACTATATTATGGCTAACCGCCCGTGTATAGATGTAATATACTGATCGAGAGTGCATCAAATATTTTTCCTTGTCGGATTATTCCTGAACTCCTTTATACAATGTCTAGTTTTACACGTGGATTGCGCGAATGTGCTAATAATGTTTATATTTAAATAAGTATTTTAAAGTATATCAATGCAATATTATATAGGAAAAGGTCATACATAGGTAATTGAATGTCAAATTTGTTTATTCAAATAGGTAATTCAAAGCATATGAATGCAAGATAATATGGAAGATTCATTATAATTGTCATTAAAATAAATATTTGCATCTTTGTAAAATCCAGGGGCGGAGTTACCTGGCCTGCATGGTGCAGGGGGCCCTGGCCCCCACCCCCTCTAAATTTTTTTTAATAGTATAATACTTATTTTGGTGTCCTCTCTCCTCAAAATATTTGGTCCCTCCCAATCAATCTTGCAGACTAAATTTACAAAGAATAGTTGCGGAAAGTTGATTTAAAAAAAAAAAAAAAAAAAAAAAAACGCGACCGTTTCCTAGCGTAGAACGGTAGCGTATTACTAACATTCCGCGACTGTTACACAACGGTCGCGTAAAGTCCAAAGCTTTACGCGGCCATGACATGCGCGACTGTTGTACAACAGTTGTGTATCTGCAGTTATGCTGAAATTCAAAAAACACATTGTTATCGGCATTGAAACGATTGACAGATAATAACGGGAGTGAAAGATCAGGGACATGCAAAATATTAGATAAACGAAGAGGTCTAGACTCGGAATACAACGACGCATGACCAATACCAGAAATCCCCAAACACATCGCCTCCAACATAGGACTCAGAGTGTGCCATCATCGTCGGGTCCGGCGTGGCATGAGACGACGCCCCGGTGTCCGGGAACCACGCATCAGCCGTGACCGCTGCCTCTTCGCCGAAAACAGCCGAATGCGCCTGCGGCGGTGGGTGGCCGGAATAGCGAGTACATTGTCGTGTGCCCGTGCGTCCTGCATATATGACCACGAGGACCGCCGACACCACGTCCTCTGCCTTGGCCGCTGCATCCACGACCACCGCCGCGACCTCGACCCTATGGGAAGCCAGACTGCCGATTGCCACCACCGCCCTCATGGCTCTGTCTGTAGCCTCTGCCAGCCACCATCGCCATATGAGCGCCGCCGGAGGGAATGAACTCATCCGCCCATATGAACTCCTGCGATTGAAGGAAGTCGACGAGTTGCGGAATGGACACCGGTGCTCCGGTCGCCGATAGGGAGGACGCCATTGCACGAAATTCCAGGTGAAGGCCGCGGAATATGTACAGGTTTTGCTCGTCCAATGAGACCGGACGGCCGGCTAGCGCCTAGATCTTCTACCAGAAGCTGTGCTCGACCAAGATACTCACCGGCGGTGCTGTCACCTTGCCGGAGGGACTGGAATTGAGCCAGGAGATTCAGACATCGCGCCCTTGTCGACGAGCCCAGAGCCGAGGTGATGGAAGTCCATACGTCACGGGAAGTGCCTCGGCCAACGACAAGGTACATAACCTCGTCGGACAGAGATGAAACGAGCAATGACAGGATCGATTGATCCTGTTGAATCCATTGGGCATGCTCCGGATTAGCCATGGTGGTGGAGGTTGTGCCACTGAAGTTTGCCTCGCTGGTGGCCGGAGCAGGGATGACAGCTGGAGGGAAAGGCGTATCGTCATTTACGAATCCCAACAAACCTTGCCCGCGGAGGAACGGGACTAGCTGTGTGCACCAAAACATGAAATTTTTGGTAGTTAGTTTCATTGAACGAAGTGGTTTGGCGTGGATAGGTTGTTTGGGGTGGCCGGCGGTGGTACAGTGGCGGCGGTGACCGTCCGCTCGCTAGAATTGGTGGACATGGTTGGGGAGAGAGAGAAACCTGGGCTAACTGATACCAGATTAGATAATAGTTTGCGTTGATTACCAAAACTCAGCGATTACACAGAGATACAATAGACTCATATGACTAGCCTAACTATCCCTATACATTAGCTAGTAGTTATTGACTAAATCAAAGTATAACTATACTAATATAATGTTACATTTAAGAGTACAAAATATATCATGTCTAACACTAGTGTAGGCTTTCCACAATATCAATTCTTATATTCTTCAAGAAGTGACTTGGTCATTTTTTCATATATTTTTGAAGCTTTGAATCTTTTGATGAATTACTGATTGTATATTTCCATTTCTCTTCAACCAGCATTCTCTGAATAACTGCATTAATGGTGGCTTTGGTCTTCTAAGTCAAAGAAGATGGTGATTACATAAACAAAGAATTAGATATATAAGATAGATATTAATTTGAAACAAAGAATTAATTAAGATTAGCTAAAGCATAAGGTGATTATGTATATATATCATGAGCAGGCACATTATTAAAAAGAAATTATTAGTCTGCTACTTAGTTTTATTAGATTTGTAATGTAATAATGTATGTTGAAATATATTAAATGAATATTAATATATTTAATTATTCACTCTTAAATTGTAATTGCCCCCCGCATCATGTAATCTTGGCTCCGCCCCTGGTAAAATCGATAGTCTAAAAACGATAGTCTAAATAAATACTACTTTTGGTTTGAATTTCTCAAAGTCTTCTTAATTCTCTTTTGAGTAGCATTGTGTAAGATATATTAAATATAATATATTTAATATAATATATATTAAATATAATATAATATAATATATCTATAATATATTTTAAATATAATATATCTATATATTATATTTATATATATTGAGAAGAGAGAGAGAGAGGAAATGAATTTGATTGATGAATAATGAATGAAGAATACAATCTATTTATACTAAATGATAAAGCTAAATTTTAGGAAATGCATGTAAGCACTAACTGCCATTATGCCATTATCCCATGAAATGTTGCTGCACACTCCATGTACTGCTCCACGTACCAATTATTATAATACTTGGTTTAATTAATATAATAATAATATTATTATAACATTGCCTCCTTTAAACCAAGTTGGATATATTGGTCATCCCAATTTCTTTCTTCAATTTGAGAAATGTCTCCGTCTTCAACGGCTTCGTAAAGATATCTGCAACTTGACATTCACTTGAACAATACTCAATGTTGATTTGTTTTTCAACAACCAACTCTCTGATTTTGTGATACTTGATATCAATGTGTTTGCTGCGACCATGAAAGACTGGATTTTTGGACAACGAAATTGCTGATTTGTTGTCACAAAAAATAGTTGTAGGTGCTTCTTGGTTGTGTTGTAGAAATTCTAAAATTCTCCTCAGCCAAACTGCTTGAGTAGCACAGTTTGTTGCTGCAATATATTCTGCTTCTGCGGTTGAAAGTGCTACAATCTGCTGCTTCTTTGAAGACCAAGAAAATATAGCTGAACCAAGATAGAAGGCATATGCTGATGTGCTTTTTCTGGTCTCAATATCTCCAGCCCAATCACTGTCTGTGTACCCAACAAGTCTCACATCTTCATTAGTGGAGTAAAAGATTCCATCATTACTCGTACCTTTCACATATCTCAGAATTCGCTTTGCTGCAGCCCAATGTGATTCTTTTGGTTCCTCCATGAATCTGCTAAGTATCCCAACTCCAAAAGAAATATCTGGCCTTGTTGCCACCAGATACCTCAAACTCCCAATTAAGCTTTTATAAGATGTAACATTCACGTTCTTACCACACTCATCTTTGGACACCTTTAACTTTTCAGCTAACGGCGTTGAAACTGGTTTGGAGTTTTCCATTTTGAACTTTTTCAAAATATCAGCAGCATACTTCTTTTGTGAAATAAAGATTCCACCATCCATCTGAACAACCTCAAGGCCAAGAAAGTAAGACATAAGGCCCATATCGGTCATTTCAAACCTCTTAATGAGTGCCTCCCTGAATTCTGAGATTAGTTTCAAGTTATTTCCAGTAAAAACCAAATCATCAACATACAGACAGATTAGAACAATATCACCAGAATCTGTGCATTTGACATACAAAGTGTGTTCATGAGGACATCTCATAAAAACACTTTCAACAAAATATGAGTCAATGCAACCATACCACGCCCTAGGCGCTTGCTTTAAGCCATACAAGGCTTTTCTCAACCTGTACACTTTATTTTCCTCCCCTTTCTTCAGAAATCCCGCAGGTTGCTCAACATATATTTCTTCTTCAAGAAAACCATTCAAAAAAGCAGACTTGACATCCATTTGATGCAATTTCCCATCATTTTGAGCAGCAAGAGAAATAACCATTTGAACTGTATCAAGTCTACTTACAGGAGCAAAAACCTCAAAATAATCAATACCTGGTTTTTGCTTGTAACCCTTTGCTACTAACCGTGCCTTAAAACGGTCAATTTCTCCATTTGACTTGTACTTCGTTCTGTAAACCCACTTCACTCCAATTGGCTTCTTTCCAGGAGGTAAATCTGTTAACTCCCAGGTACCATTCTTTTCAATGGCACGGATCTCCTCATCCATCGCCTTAAGCCAATGAGTTTCTGTAGCAGCCTCCTCAAAAGTTAAAGGATCACAATCTGCAAAGAGAGCAAATTGAACAATCTCTTCATCAGACAGGTCATTATCATGACCCAAAACATAATCTTGCAAGCGAGCTGGTAAGTGGCGCTCGCGCTGAGATCGTCGAACTGACGACTCTGGCTGTGAAGGAGACTGGAAATTATCTGGAATTGGTTGCTCATCAACAATATTTTCAACAACAGGAATAACAACTGAACTTTCATCTTTAGCTAACCAATCCCAGGCACCATATTCATCAAAAG